GGTCAGAGTTCCCCATATCATTCTTTGCATGATAAAAGACGTTCTTACTAGTGTAAAATGTGGTTCATGGTTTTCATTTCAGATTTTATCAAAATAAACATAGGCAATGCTCGTCTTGTATTTAGGGAGATAATCTGTTTCTTTACAGATAGACAGTGCTAAACGTAAAGGACAGTTAGAGATACTAATTCTTGTTACCACGTTTTGATCTCGATTTTTTTCTAACTAGTATCTGAATAGATTCTATCATAGCTAATTATTGTACGCGTAAAACCGATTCACATAAAATCGTAGTGCAAGAAATGATCTGTTAATATATTGAGAAACGCCGTTAGTTGAATTCTTATATTGTTCGTTCTTGATGCTCTTGACCAATATTGCAAATAGTTTTGGTCAGTGTTTTGTTGAAACACGGTACTAATATCTCGAAATATATGTAACACATGTCGGTTTTTGAGGAGAATGCTGCACGTCGTTCCAATCCCAGCTCTGTCTGACAATTATATGTACTTGCTGATCGACAAGAAAACCAATGATGCAGCTTTGGTGGATCCGGTAGAAGCAAATAAGGTATAAAGTAAGAGCGCCATAGCGTTTGCTGTTTTTTTTGTTTGAAATGACCTTTCATTTTGGGTTCTTCGCACCCACAAGTTTTACTTCGCAGCTATGGCCATACACTTAAGTACACGCTGTTTCAGAGATTTATACCACGGACGAACATCAAAAAGTCAGTCAAACTATTGGCCACATGTTCTCGATGTTGGAATGGATTAATGCAGGAGTTTTTGGTTTTGCAGTTTAAGGAAAGCAGAGTAGTTCTCTACTAATTATGTAGTTTCCTAACAGAAAGGTGCTTTTCTTCGCTGTTAAAACGTTGTTTTCTACTCTAAAACTGTGTTGTCCCTGGCAGATATGAAGATCTCGTTTTTGAGGGATGACGCATTTCAAGATAATCGGCCGGATGTGTAACTCATTCGCTGTCAGCAATTATTCTTACGAGTAGTACGGTAAACGGGCTTTGTTACCTGACGGTTTCTTCATGCGATGCAGCTGCTACAAATAATCGCTTCCTTAACGTCCAGTGGTCATATACTGTGTTAGTGCTTGTCACATTTTCACTATTTTAGCTGAGAAAATAATCTATTTTCACAGAACTGTTTCTGTATACTACTGTTTCTGTATAGTGTTTCTTCAGAACTGTTGAAACGTTCAACAGTGTTGAATTCGATGCATCATGACCGAATCATTTTCTGACTACTTGTGGCAAGTTCCTCCAGCAAAAAAAACTTTAGAAACTAGTGGCGATTATAATCTCCAGCCAGTGTGATTAGATTACTCTGGACAGCCGATGACTGGAACGCCATCAAAGTATTTATAAATTTTTCCATGCCAGGTGCATCAAAATTGTAGGCGATGTAAATATTGCCTACCATGACGTTTTTGTACGTAGTCAAGAACGTTCGCCAGCTCGGATGATTAGACACTGTGCTGTGCGCCTGTAAGATGTATTTTACCGCTGGATTGTTGCATCTGCCCTTCCGTATATATTTTAATGACTCTGCCGCCTCGAGATTTCTTTTTGGAAGAGTGATCGAGTCAAAACGGCTGGAAGTCGCAAAGAGACATGACCGAATCCTCTAACTCTTCAAGAAGGGCATGACTCTCGAAATAGGAGAACCGACGGGGTGGCAGACTGTCAGAGCTGCAGCACGACTTCAGTTTCTCGAGTTTACTTTCTGCCAGTAAGTAGGTTTCCAACGTCCATTTTTTTCTAGCTTGTTTTGCCTATATACTAGGCGGCCATACCTTTAACAGGTTCGAGATTCTCGTAAAAGGTCAAATTGTGGAATTTTTTGTTTTTACTACTGGTGTTGGCATTTAAGTTAAAAAGGGTATCTCGGGATATGATGATCCGGTCGATCAGCCGTCTATGACCACGGCATGCAATATCAGCGATAACAAGGACAGACGCTGAACATAAAAGAAAATGGATTAGGAAAAATGCGACGAATAACAAGGGATGGCGCATACAGAAGTTGAAAAACGTTCATCACCGGGCTGCTTCGATCTGAGCTGCAAAAGTGAGCGTCCAAAAAGTAAAGCACATCAGTGAAATTGTCGAAAACTATGGCTCCAATTAAAGCAAACCATCCCAGTTAACAACCCCTATAGCGATGTTAAGAGAAGTATAATCTGTAACTTTCTTATAGTACCAGTTCAGCGGATGTTTCAGTTCGTATTTCACCACCACATTGATCCAGTCTCACTTCTGCGTCATTCTGATCGGCATCAAATAATGACTAAAGTCTTAACTTCAAGTTAGTGAAGAGAAGTATGTATGCTACTTTTCCTGAATCTCGCGGCGTCTGCAAAAGTTTGTCATTCTAATGGATAGCATGCTCTATTTTTTCAATGAATACAGACAATGCCCTCCATAAGTTGTTTCAGGGTTGGTGTGAAAGAAGGGGGAATAAAACACGAGCTGAACAAGAAAAATGATATTACTCCCTGCTGCTGGAATGACTTTCACCAGAACTTTGATTCTAAGAGGCTCTAAAACCTGTTTCCGGAATTATGTAATGGATATCTCATATTCATCAGCACCTATTGCCAACATCGTACGTTTGCACTGATGATCGTTGAAGCGATTTGCCCGGGGGCGATCTCATGCTGAGCCAATTTTGTTAATGCACTGATTGACATTGAGTAATGTAGTCATTTTATATGACAAAGTCTTAACGGGTATACGTACCCAGATAAGCGATCAAACAACTTTGAATGAACAGAACATAGAATAGGAATGAAAAACATGAAATCTCACTAGAACTGGGATATTTTTGCATTCACTTCGCGTCTAGGGAAATACCGAAATACGGTAGTCAGTTCATTTTGCATGTTCCTTTATGTAGAAATCCGATCATTTGATGGTGTTTACATCGGTTCCTTCTTTGTTGCAGTTAAGAGCTTTACACTCAATAGTAGTCCACCAGGCGCTACTTGACACACTCTGTCTGACCGTTTGTAATAGTTTCGCAAGCCTTCACAGTATGTGGTATGACAATTAAAAGATTCTATGGTATTTTCTGCCAGCATACGGTCATATATCTGTTATTGCTTGTCTTACAAAAGGTATATATTATTACAGTTGTTTAGTTGTTACAGCTTCGATTTCTGGTTTACTTTAGGCAATTACAAAGTCGAAAGAAAATAATGCCACCGTGCGTTGTGTACTTACCACACATCACCACTGGTAATTAAGCCCACTGTGCATTTTTTATTTTATTCTTTATTTAGTTTATACATTTGTGAAGCGCTTGAAATTTTTCCACTTAAAATGTATTAACTATGTGTCAACAGAGTAGCTTCAGAACAGCTGACTGTCACTGAAGAAAAAATTAATTTAATTGAGTTTCTGTTCTTTTAGAAAAAGTAAGAAATTCGATAATTGCAGCTAATTTGTTTTACTGCCAAAATTTGAACCGAACGACCGTGCTCAGGCCATTTTGACCGACGTTTTGACAGTGAAATAAGCCAGAATCATAATTGTCGGTCTTCTGATTACGCCAGAATATTGAATCTTTGCCTCGTATTGAAGAATGAATATAGTCCTGTATGAGTATTCAAAATCAATCACTCATTGATGTTGCCTAATTATGACTCATAGCTCTTGAAAGACCAGATTTCTCGGCCTTTTGCACCTCCTCTTGCTACTGTTTGTCTGTAAGGGGAATATTTAAGCAGGACATTGCTCCATGGTAGTGAAGCTAATTACCCAGTTCCCAAATTATTATCCTTCACTCGTTAGCATTGTATCACTGAAGTGGGAGGATTTTTAAAATAGCTCATTGTTGTATGTAAAACGGGATTCACACCGCAGAAGGAAAATTTAATAGTCTGTAATACAGAATGGTACTCACTGTATTAGTATGCGCAAACATAGAGCTTCACAGACTGACATCACGTTTCCTTTTGGTATATGAATATAGGTTTAATGCGCAACAGCCATAAACAGTATTATAGCACAGTTAAACATAGACGAGTGAATGAAAACAGTGGAAACTTATTAATACATGGCTGTGAGCTAGAAGTACTTTTTAGACTTGCTTAGTCCAGGGAGTGGATGGAATATAGGTGAATTTGTATCCGATAAAATGTCGGTCATGCACTTTCGTAACTTTGCCATTCTGTCGCCTTTCTTTTCATGAAGTTAGTAGTGGGGCGCTCATGTTTATTTCTGTCATCAGACACGAGTGCCTTATTTTAAAGGTAGCAGAGTCGACAACAGCTGTCGGATAAGTATAGTGTGTGTATTCTCCTGTTTCCCTCTCACATGGTACTGCTCATCAATCTCGGAAGAAAGAATACGAATTACCCTGAATGGGCCTATAACTCCATACCTCTGGGTTTTGAATCAGACGCTCTCCCAAGCAGCTCCGCTTTTAAGCAGCGTGTACTAATTTCCTTTCCTTAGGAAATTCGTCGGTAGGACAACTTGCCGTCTTCTGGAATCAAATCTAGCACCTCTGGATTTCGAAGCCCTCCTCTTGCGCACTCTTCCGCCATGTAAGTAGAGGAAAGACCCAATCACGTGGGAGGTTCCTTGAATAATGTAGCACTGTTGCAGAACCTAAAATGACATTTAATCTCAACACTCATGTGCCTGACATTTAGAAGAATTACTCAGATGGCTATTCACTTCTGATATCTGCTAATATGTACCGTAGAAAGGCTGAATTTGCACGACCAATTGCATGATATGGCTTAAATTTTGCTTCTTCCGCAAATGTATTTATATTCTACAGGTAGTCCCATCTCAAAGTTTTCTCACAGCGTCATGACGTTTTTAACCATTTCTTGTCATTTCCCGGATGTTAGTTTTCATTTTGTCTTATTCTCCTTATTTTATTCGTCTAAACGATTATCCCGATTTTGCGAGAAGTGAACAGGATTAATGCTATAATGACCAACAAGTTGTATGTTTTTAAAAAAATGAAGCATTTTTATTATGTGACTGAAACGTCGATCAGCGCTTTATCATCAGTTTCATGGCAAATGGAGTCATTAATTGCGCCAATCCTTAAAGCATGACCGACATTCCAACGGGTATAAATTTTTTTATGCTACTTATCATATACGTTTATCCGGTTCAACTCCACTAGAATTTTGTAGCTCTGTTGATGAATTTGAGCGACGCGTTCAAAAATAAGTTGATGCGAATTCAGCTTAAACGCATTATTAAAAATAACTAACAGACTAAAATGTGACTTGCAAAACAGCCACTTTGCAAAGTCCAAGTCTTATGGTACATGGAACTAATGGTTAAATTTATGGACTAGTTTATACTCCCTCCCTACGCTTGTCGCACTTTAGGATTTAGCTTGCCTAGTGTACTCTTTTAAAATATAGGACCAAGACTTAGAGGAACTGAGAGCTGTTAAACTTGCAAAAACCTGTCTATTTTTAGCCATAAATGAATAGCGAATCGCGTGACCAATGAGTGGCAAAAATTTTAACTGTTTACAGATTAAAAACAGATGAATAATTATTTTCAAGTTTTTAGACGCAATTACTTTTATGAATTTTCAAAAATCTCCACTTGAAAGCAGCTAATTTAGGGATCATTCTGGCGGAAATGAAGAAGTCCATAACATTCTGCCAGAAGCGACGATATACTCCGGCGCAGAACACGCATCGTACCCTTTCGAGCAAGTTTCCGACGGGAAAATAATCAAGGTCTGGCAGAAATTGTCTCGCGTTAATTTTTTTGCATTTATCGTAGTTTTCGATCTTTCAGTTTTAACTTTATGAATAAATACATCAATCCTTACTGGTATGTTTGTAGTTTCTAGTTTAAATTGTCTTATGCTGGGATATATTTCGCTTCGTTTATATTTATTATTTATATTTATGCTGCCTGTTTGAGGATTATTTTCTTGATGCATGTTTTGGAAACCCAAAACGAAACTATAATGGAAATATTTTTGCTGCTCTGTCGATGCGCTTCTTCATCAACTCCGGAAACATCGTTCATTCCTGATGATGTTGACTTTTAAGTGAAACTTGTCCACCATTGTCTAGCTTTTGGGCTTCCTAACCATGTTTCTGTCAAATAGTTCATTAATGACAAGTGCTATCAATTAGCTAAATCAGTACCATTCTCGTAATAAAAGTCAAAATAAATCGTGAGACTGCGAAAGTGACCGAAGTTATATAATATTGATGCAGGCGTCATTCGAATAGTATATGCAGTATTTCCACCGTAATTTTGAAAGTGCACATATCAAAATCCAGAGCAGAACGAACACTCGCTGAATTTTACTTATCTGATTAGCGTTTTGAATCGTTGAAAAGGATATTCCATTTCATAGCTCTTAATTGATTTGCAATATTTATTCTGCATCGATCTGCTTTTACTCTCTTCATGATCATACTTCAAAACGGCATATACCCTGTTTATTTATACACAGCGCAAAAATATTGCTAATCACATGACTGACCAATACCGACGTTTTGACTCGTGTCTCAGTACGAGATTAGGGAAGCTTTAGCGGTTTTTCTTCTTCTCCTCAGCGGTTGGAAGGTTCAGAGCCAGAAGGCAAGTATTTGGTCCGCGCTGTTGGTTCAATAATTTTTTGACCCGGGGGAGGGGGGGGGCACAAGACTTATCTGATCTGCGTTGAATCTGTATCCCATGTTAAGGATTTGCGCTTTCTTCAATCGCCTGTTCAGCCAGTATCTTTTTCTGTTGATGTTTGCACTATTCCGAAGACTTTTTGCACTGTTCTTTGACTTTGCTAATGGAGAAACTTTGTTTTCTTCCCGGGGTCTTCGTGACTACGTGCCTTTCACGCCCATCTCTGTCATCCATCAGCTCCAACTTTACAGTTAGGTGTTTGTTCTCTGAGTGATCGTCTTCCCTGTTTCTCCTATGTAATATTTCACGCAGTCACACGGTAATTATAAGTCCACGAGTTGTTATTTTCAGAATTCCTTTTGAAAATTGGAGCTTTTACATATAACGTTAATATTATATTTAGTGTTAAGTGACCTTTGTTGCTTTTCACTATTTTATGCTAAGGTAGAATTAAATAAGGTTTTATATGTGGCGTACTGTTTTTGATATTATTGCTGTTACAGGTTGATTTAAAATAAGTTATTCTATAGTTTATATCATTAATAACAAACTTAACTGGATTACTGTAATTATGTAGAGTAAGGTTGATTTAAATGTTTTCTTTCTTTGAAAATTTCATTAGTGCTGTGTGATAGAACGATGACGTGAATGCATCTTCGTTCCTTGAATAACTCGTGATTTGATACATATGGCTATCTGGGTGGAATCTTTCTTAATGGTTGTATCCTTCTGCGAGTCAGTTGTTAGGTGAGATAAAACAAATGGCACCTCTGAACCTCGCTTGCGCCACTCAACATGGGAATAAATCTCACAGTCAGAACCATGACTCCACCAAAACTTTCTTTGATTACTTTGGTGTTTCGTCACTTGGTCGCTCTTTTTGGCTGGCTACCTTGAGACATGGTTAGGTAAATTCCTTGCTTAAGGGAGTTCGCACTTAACTAAAAGATCTACGCCGCGCTGGATCGAATGTGTGCTTCAGCGTGCAGAACTGGACGACTTTCCACTCTGCCGTTTCGGCTGCGTATTTAATGTAGAAATGAGTGTATTCGTTCGATGCATTTAATATCAGAATAAATTGGTATTTTCTCAGTGTGAAATGGCAATAGATTACACAAGATCAGAAGAGTTGTTTTCACTCTCTTTGCCCTATGACGAATGCAGGCTGTTTGCAAATGTAGCTTAATATGTTTTAAGTTTTTCTTTCTTCTCTAATGACATTTCATTTGTTTAAATCTTGCTTTAGAAGAAAATTAGTGTGTGCCATTCTCTATTGTCACAAGGTTATGTTATTTAGATTGGCTCTTTGCAAGTGAAATGTTTGATGACACCTTGTCATACGAAAGATCATGTATGCTATTATGTTGAAGACAGCGATGGTCAAAAGGCGGTGTTTACTGGTAAGCCCTAAATTCGAAAAGTATGATTGTTTCAGGGCTACAATTTGACATTTTCGTGCATAGCCCCTGTTTAATCGCTAAGGGAAATAAAGGTAAATAGAGTAGTTGCGTACGCCTTGAGGTATACCTTTGAAGATTTTAGAGGACTACAGGACGTATTCGGAATGTAGAAATTATCTACTAATGAGATTTTGATGAAAAGTCATAGAAACATAGATTCATTTTTGTCTAATAACCAGTGTATTTGATTCCACCCAAAGGCGGAAGCGCCTGCTTTGGCGACAGTCCATGAATACAGGGTGGTGTCAGCTCAGTAATGGTGTCATGCGAGCAGTTTATATTGTGTTTATTGTATTCATATGTTGCCAACAGTGAAGAGTAGATGAATTTTTCCGTTATATAGTTTTTCTGAATAGGACCACCTCAGCATATCGTTACGCTTGCTTTTAAACGCCTAGGGAAACCATTTCGCTTACGTTCTGCTGCATTGTATTTGAGCACCTGCAATTTATATGTGCAATACTGCATACCTACTTTTTGTCTTATGGCCTTGAAATCAGGCGCTGGTGTCTTTCATTCACACACTGTAATACACCGAACATTGTCATTAATAAGCTAGAATTTTTAATGATCTTGTTTTAGGGGATACGCTGTTTATCGCAGGCTGTGGAAAATTTTTTGAAGGCACAGGTGAAGAAATGTATAACTCGCTAGTGAAAAAACTTGGTGCCCTTCCGGACGATACGAAGGTTTACTGCGGCCATGAATATACTGCCAGCAACTTGAAATTTGCTATGCATGTAGAACCGTCGAATGCGGAAATTGCAAAGAAACTTCAGTGGGCGCAGGTATGCTGTTCAAAATGGTTATACAATGTTTATTTATTTTTATCAGAAAATGGAGGCTGAAAAAAAATTTACGATTCCATCA